CTACATTCGATTTGGAATGAATTGGCTTTTTCAATTTGGCTAATTTAATATGACCTTACTATATCACTTTAAGATCTTTTTTTCCTCTTATTAGCATCAAGAAACTACAAATTGAGTAGTTCTTAAGAGATAAATCTGGATTAAGAATGCTAGAGGCTCCCAGTATGTCTTTGAGATAACGTATGCTGGTCAGTAAAACAGATTACAACAAAGTATATATAAAATAGACCAATGGAAAATGGCGCCCGCACGAACGTTCAGTCGCCTAAGGGTCAGACTTCTAAAAAATGGCGCCTTCTTAATGCGCATGCGCCTAGCATATATATTGGCGTCACACGGCTCGGCGTTATTGGCAAATCCCCCCAGACGACGTGCGTGTGCACGAAACGCGTAGGAGGAGCCAGGAACGCCGTGACGTCACGCCGCCGGAGCATCGTGGAGCTCTGGCGGCCATCTTTAACATTGGACGGTCAGTCCATGATTTCTCTTGTTTTTATTTGATTCATACATCGATGTTCATCTTCGTTTCATACCAATAAATACCTAACTACTACACTATGGAGATGTCTCTGCTTTGACTCCCTTGGGGAGTATTAATTTACAGCCATCCGTTTACTGCTGGTGAAGGAGGGTCCTTATTACTTAAGGAGGAATACACAGGCCAATATCTGAGGGATCACCCTGATGTCCTAACAGCACACTCAGTAGTATTGGAGGGAGACCATTGGATTTCAAACCCCATCTTGACCAGATGATGACCTCAAGGGATCAGCATATATATATATATACAAACGCTCATCAAACTGTGCGTTCTGGTGAGTGTGCATTCCTTCTGCACTATATCGCACAGTATCCTGTCACCTGGAGAATAGGAATAGATGAGAGCACCTGAAGTCACCTTGATATCACCATATGAACTATTCATTCTTTTATCTATTTATTCATATACTTATAGTACCTCTTGTCCAGCGCTGCATCAATTGATTTATATTATTGTAGTAGGAGCAAGAGAGCTGCATATATTGATGTCTTCTCTGTAGTGCTGGCTCTTACGCCCTGTCATTGTTGGTGGGTGAAGCCAAGCATGATCCGTTCAAGTGAATGAGGCCACTCTGCAAGAGCCCTGCAACCTTGTGCAGTACAGCAAATAAGGGGTTAAACAGGCAGCATTGTGTTGCTTTTTCCCCAACTGCTTTAACCTCTTAGACCCCGCAGGGCACTTGCAGAGTGACCCCATTTACTTGATTGGGTACTGATTAACAGGCAGTAGCACCCACCAAAAGCAACAGGGGGCTTAATTCCTTCTGCAGCATGGGTACACCTTTTGGCTGCTGCCTCAGCAGCTAAAGGGGGGGGGGGGGGTGTAGGCATTGGGGGTGGTAAAACTGTGACTCAACCGCAGGATTTTACCACCCCCAAACTTTACATATGAACAAGCCCTAAGAGTGCCACTGCCAGATGTAACTAAGGGTTCATTCCCAATAGCAGCAGGCAATGCTGCCCCTCTGCAAAGCGTTCTGAGTGTGGAACAGGTGGTGAGGAGGTGGCATGTTGCGTCCTCACCACCTGATTTCAACCTATGACTGCCATGCAATGCACGTGATTGTGACATGGTAGTACAGTAATTAGAGGTTTAAATCAGGTGTGAGGAGGTAACACTGGCTGACACCGTGCCCAGTGATCGTTTACTTCTCCCATGTTTTTCAGGTAGCTCTCTGCCTCTTTAAGGTTGTCTACCGCTGATCTAAATGGTTAGTTTGCTTGATTACACACAAGTGTCAGTGTCTTGGGTTCTAAAGTGCAACAAGAAATAACCCTTAAAATTTTAATCTACAAAGCTGGAATCTCGTTCTTGGTAGCAGTAGCATCCCTGCTTGTTGGTTTGTCAGATCTGCTAATCCCATGATTTAATACTAAAAAAAAAAAAAAAAAAAAAAAAAAAAAAAAAGGTTCCCAATCTACTTGTCCCTCATGACATTCTACTTGTCCTGACCAAAACAAGAAATTTTCCCAGGATGGAAAATATGAAGGGTTGATGTTTTATATTAGGCAGAGGTGCTTTTAGGAATATTTGGGGCTTTTAAAAACGAAAAGGTCTTTATGGCAACTTAAATTTTTAATGTTTTTTTATTTTTTTGCTAGAAAATTTCTTAGAACTTTTAAACATTTATTTTTTTTTTAAGCAGAGGCCCTAGAGCATAAATTGATGGGTTTTTCACAATTTTATGTCACACGATATTTGAGCAACAGTTTTTCAAACACAAAACACTTTTGAATATTAATGCAAAAGACACAATACATAACCCAATTTTTTGGTAAAATATAAATGATGTTGCCCCAAGTAAATAGATCCCAAACAGGGCATGCTTAAAAATTGCACACGCCCGGGCAATGGCAACAAATGGCGTAGATTTTACTATCCATAGAAAACGCTTTATTAGCCATCACAGATTACCACTTTAGATTTACACAGGAGTTCTGGTGCTAGAAATACTGCAAATGAGCTGACATTCGCGGTGATACCTCACGTGTGGGACAATCGCTGTTTGTGTGTGGGACGGACGCGTGTGTTCACCTTTGCATGTGAGCACGGGGTACCAAGGGTGCTTTAATTTTTTTTTTTTTTTTTTTTTAAATGTATCTATTTTTACACTGTCACTTTAATTTTTATTTGTGCTGTCACAAGGAACACAGACATCCCTTGTGACAGCAATAGGCAGTGAAAGGTACTCTTCAATTAGACCCCAGATCCCTCCTCTGCCTTTGAAAGCATTTGATCACACCAAGATCGGTTTGATCAAATGCTTTCCATTTTTAAAAATGGTGCCGTTTACATCCAGGAAAGTGATGAATGCTCATCACTTCCTGTTTCCTATATCATAGAGGTGGACAAAGCAGTTCCGGTTGATTGGGTGTCCCGTATTGGACAGGCTCTGTCTCCCCTCCCAGTGGATGGGACTTGGACGGTACATATATAATATTCTTCAGATAACCGTAATCCGATAACTACAACAATAAATAAAATACACATAGAAAATATAAATTAATATAACTATTTTATATTTAAAAAAAAAAAAATGCCCCGTTTCCCATTGGCGGAGAGCGCCGCCAGTCAGAGCCAGTTGTTCTCTGCATGGCTGCACGGCCTGGATTGCATTCTTCATTCTGACTGGTGCCATGGTGCCATTCTCCACCAACAGACAGTAGGGAGCAGAACTGCACTGGAACGTGCCTCTGCCAAGAAGGGGGAGATGGTATAGGCATCCGGACAGTCTACGGAAGACATTGAGGGGGGAGGGGTGGGACATCCCCTCCTACTGCCTGTAAAAGCATTCCAGCGGCTAGTTAGCTGCTTGTATTGCTTCTACAAGAGGCTCTAAACCCTGCTGCTTGCCTGCAGCAGGACTAAATGTAAAGAAAATCTTGCCCGGACGATGAGAATTGAACATCCCTGCTGTCTGCTATATAGTATTTAATGCATACGCATTAAAGTGCCTTACATGAAGGCAGACCAATCATTTGAATGAGCTACCAACACACAACAATGGACTGATATTTTTATCTGAAGAATTTTTGGTAACACACCCTAATGCATGGTAGCAGGTGATACCTCACATGTGTGGGACAATCGCTGTTTGTGTGTGGGACGGACGCGTGTGTGGAGTTAGGTTAAAGGTGTGCAATCAAAACGAATGGCACGATTATGCATCATTATGTGTACGTTTTGTTACTACCTCAAGATGGTAGTGTGAAGGAGCCCCTAGTGCTGTTTTGTCATTAACCCCCTCCTGGCAGTATTCCTGAGTGTAGCTCCGGGTTAAGTTTCAGTACCAGAAACTGTAACCCCGAGCTACACTTGGGATTACACTGCAGTGTTCCTCTGGGATCCCTGGATCACTTAACTTGTCCCGCGCTGTCCTCCCGCTGCGTCCCCAGCCGATGCCAGCACCCGTCTTCTGTTCCCTGCAAGCGTCGGTACATACGGGGGTCAGAACCGGCGGGAGATTCAAACATTTAAACATTTTACATACATATAATACACTAAAATCTGATATTACATTACTGTATCAAACCATTTCACATACATTTTGTCCCTAGTGCTTTGTCCTGTGCCCTGCCTGCATTTGTACTGTTCTTTCTGCCTGGAAACTGAGAAATGTCCATGGCATCCAAAAAGCGTCCCTTTGGGTCAAAAGCGATTCTAGACCAGCTAGAGAACAGCGATAGTAAATTAGAACCACTTTCAGAATTGAGTGATAATGATTCGTGGGGAAATTCGCCATCAGACACTGAAAATGATTCTGCGACTTTGCTCAGTGATGTGCGAACTTGGCGCTATATTTCAAATTTCATTTCATTTTCATTTCAAGTTTGATTACATTATTATCTGGTTTCAAATTTTATCATACCTGGGATGTTTACTAGACTCTTGTTCGGACAGATTTCAATGAGTTATTCCTAAGAATTACAGGCCTACAGTACAAAAACAACATATTTCCATTGAAAACAATGTACCCATTTGAGCACAGAAATACTGACATAATCAGACCGCTAGGGAGGTTAAAGGAATCCTTTACTGAGCAAAATATGTGTGTTGTCATTGCTGACCTTCTGAAAATGCTAGGTTACTAGCTGTTTGTCTTCAATACTTTGTCATGAACCTTGGAAAAACATTTAGCTAGTAAAGGCAAAACACGCCTGACGTGTATACTTTTTCTTGACAGTGAATTTGAGTATTGAAGCAATTGGATCAGTTTGACAGTCAAAGAGCTAGAGAGGTCAACACTGGCAGATGTGCTTTAATAAAGAAACTCTTAGATTAAATCCTATTTGGGTACAAGAGATGTTGCAAACACTGTTGCTGTGGATTGTGTGAACCTAGCCTCTTTGTGGATTTAAGGACAGCCTATTAAATAATACCTACAAGAAAGCATTGCATTGTGTGCTTCAGCTTGATTTGCGATGACCATTGTATTAATGTCTTGTTTTCATTTTCCTAGTATATGTGCCGAAACTTCAAACACCTTATGATCTGGATTATGATGCAAATTTAGCAAAAGTTAGTATTGTAAGTTTTTTGTACATCATTGTGCAACTATCAGACTAGGCATGTTCATATATATAGATACATATTGTATCACTACCTGTAATTTTGATAGGAGGGGGCAGCAGTATATGCAGGAGCTGATATCTAAAGGCATGAACCAAGCTGAATCATCTGGGTGAACATTTTCAGCCTGTAACATCTATTGCTCAGAACACATGTTCCTTTTTTGACATTTGTGTGGGCAAGGGATAATATGAAGTCTTGCAAAGGTAATTTGGTCCCAAAACCGTTGGGGCAGTTCTGAACAATTGACGGCAAAAATATGTTTCATATTCGTTTCATTTGTTAGCAGTTTGATACAAATTTTATGCATCTACCACCCCCTTATGAGATAGTTCAGCAGGTTTCTTACAGGTGTTAAAAAAAACACTGCACTGACCACCAATGCATATAGTGGGGGGATGCCAAAAGAGAAGGCTATGGAGATGAGTAGTGGCCCCTAATTGGGGTGGGGGGAGGTTAAATAGCACCGATACTGCGCACCGGTATTGAGGGGGATTAATACCAATGCCACTGACACCAGTGCTAGAGGCTTAGTCCTCATGCACACTGGACGTTTTTACAGCTGCTGTTTTTGGCTTTTGGCGTTTATTCTACAGCCAGTAAAATCCCCAGCATGTTATCCTGTGTCCACGCACACATAGGCTTCAATCAGCGTTTTTTGTCAGGGGCGTTTTTTGACTGGAAAAAAAGCCAGAACTAGTGGGTCTCTAGCTGTAAAAATGCTGTAATGCTGTAAAATGCGGCAAACTGTGTTTTTTTTTTGTTTTTTTTTTTAGCTTTTTTTACACACAATAAATAACATTTTTGCTAAAAAAAAAAAAAACTCAAATGCGGCTGAATGCTAATGCAAAAACGCTGAAAAACTTGGTGTTTTTAACACTACTTTACACAGCTAACACTACCAGCGTTATTAAAATGTTCAGTATGCATGGAGCCCTAATGCGGTCACTGACACCATTGCTGGAGGTATGTTATTGCGGCCTAACACCAGCAGCTACAATGGTCTCTTTAGTGTGTATTGTGGTATTGTGCAAAAAATGCAGCAGAACTGAAATTTTCAGGCGTTAAGGTGCATTACAACCTATTCTTTTTGACGCAACCACTGTGGTCATCACTGATAAAAGAAATTCCTTTTATCTACCATAGATACTACTTTCTTTTTTTCTTCCAACAGGCAGTGACCGGGATTGTTTGCTACTATTGTAAAGTTGCCTCAGACTTGCTGCTTATACAGGAGCTTACAAGAAAAGGAATTTCTTGGCTTATGTAAGAGATATATTCATTTTCTATATGAAGAATTTTAAACTCACTGGCGGTCAGAAGTTTGTATACAAAGTATGGCTGTACTGATTTGTGTATTCGACTTTATTTTATTTTGTTATGTGCCAGGGTATAAAGTAGTGACAACAAAAGCGCAAAAACTTTCTATTTGTTTGAGGCTTTTTTTATTTAAAGCAGTGTTAAACCCAAAAGCAAACATTTATTATATTGCAGCTTACATATTTTTAGATGTGGTGGGTGCAGTAGTTTTCTCTTTTTTTTTTTTTTTTTTTTTTTTTTTTTTTTTTTAGGCTTTCTGTTTTTTATTTTTCAACTGGTGATGCAGCCAACAATTCTGTCGTTTTTCAACAGAACAAGCTATCTTGCAAATTTAGCAGTTCAGAGTGTTGAGACAAACCTTTTACCACTGACAGGGTTGCTTACAGTGATCAGGATTTATAAATTCATGTAAAACTGTTATCCCTAAAAACCCCCCAAACTGTAGCTGTAGCTGCTTGTGTAACTTGAGTGTGACAATGCTCTTGTCCAAAGGTGCTCCTTCATCCAGAGTGGAGGTGTTCTAATACAGGAGGTGTGTTACAGGCCAGGACACCAGATAAAAAAAAGAAGGAAAAAATGCAGCGGTCACATCTAAGGATTGGTAGGATGCAGTATATTACTTTTTTTTTTGGGTTTAGTACAACTTTAAAATTAAAGAAGAAATTTTGGTCATATGACCCATTTTTTTTTCCCTGTCTTGCTTTCCTCTTTTTTTGTTTTTGTTTTTTTGTTCATGGAATTTGCCTTCACAGCTGGAATATCTTCTTATATAGATTTGTATATCTTTTCTAGTGAAGTAATGAAGAATGAGTACAATGAGACTGTCCATAAGAATACTGAAGTTACTATCAGATTCAACTTCTGCAACAGAACGGTAGAAAAGGACCTGAAAATGTAAGTATTGGAAAGGTTTATTGAAAATGATGCTTGTATTTTGACTTAACATCTTTAGTCTATTTACTTGTAGCATGTATGGTCTTTAACCCCAAGTGAGATTGATCTTCTGATGGGGCATTCGTAAAGTATTCAGACCCCCTCCACTTTTTTCAGTTTTGTTATGTTGCAGCCTAATACTACAGTTGTTTAAATTCATTTTTTTCTCCTTAATCTACACTTAGTAATCCATAATGACAAAGTGAAACAGAATTTTAGAAAAGTTTGCAAATGTATGAAAAAGAAAAAACTAAAATATCACATTTGGCATAAGAATTCTCAGACCCTTTGCAACAACAATTTGCAAAATTGGCACAGTTTGGCTCAGGTGCCTCCCATTTTTCTTGATCATTGCTGAAATGTTTCTACACCTTGATTGGACATGATTTGGAAAGGCACACACCTCTTTGTAAAACGCCTCACGGCTGACTTGCATACTGCATCGGAGCAAAAACCAGGAGTTCAAAGGAACTGCCTGCAGAGCAGGGACAGGTTTATTGCAAGCCATAGAAGTTTCCCAAGAGCACAGTGGCCTCCATAATTTGCAAATGGAAGATGTTTGGCACAACCAGGACTCTTCCAAGGGATGGTTGTATGGCCTTACTGAGCAGTCGGGGAAGAAGGGCCTTGGTAAGAGAGGTGACCAAGAACCCGATGGTCACTCTGAATGAGCTCCGGAGATCCTGCGTGGAGATGGGGCAAAGTTCCAGAAGAACAACTATCACTGCAGCCTTCCACCGATCTGGGCTTTATGGCTGAGTGGCTAGACGGAAGCCTCTCCACAATGCAAAACACATGAAAGCCCGTTTGCAAAAAGCAGCTGCGGACCTCTTAGACTATGAGGAACAAGATTTTCTGGTCTGATGAAACCAAGATTGAACTGTTTGACCTCGGTTCTAAATTTTATGTCTGGAGAAAACCAGACACTGCTCATCACCTGCCTAATACCTTTCCAGCAGTGAAGCATGGTGGTGGCAGCATTCTGCTGTGGGGGTGCTTTTCAGCAACAGGGACTGAGAGACTGGTCATGGCTGAAGGAAAGCTGAATCTCTGGTCAGAGATATCCTCAATGAAAACCTGTTCCACAGCGCTCAGGACCTCAGTCTGGGTCGAAGGTTCTCCTTCCAACATGACATTGTTCCTAAGCACACACTCAAGACAACACAGGAGTAACTTAGGAACAACTCTTGTGAATGTCCTAGAGTAGCCCAACCAGGGCCCTGACTTGAACATCTCTGGAGAGACCTGAAAATGGCTGTCCACCAACAGTTCCCATCAAATGGTAGAAAATCCGCCAAAGCAGGTGTGCAAAGCTTGTCATGACATACCCAAAAAGACTAGAGGCTGTAATTGCTGCCAAATGTGCTTCATCAAAGTACTTAGTAAAGGGTCTGGATAATTAAGTATGTGTAATATTTCAGTTTTTTTTCTTTTTAATAAATTCAGATATTTCTAAAATTATGTTTTCACTTTGTCATTATGGGGGTACTGAGCATAGACTAATGAGAAAAAAAATTAATTTAAATAACTGTAATATCAGGCTGCAACATAAAATTGAAAAAGTGAAGGAGATCTGAATACTTTATGAATGCGATAGAGAGAGATTACATTTCTATATGACTTTATTCAAACTAGGAGCAGGTTCCAATTAGGTCTGGTCTATAAAGTGGGGAAACAAAAGTGCAGGGGTTTTGTTTGAGTTGTATAATCTCTAAGATAGGAGAGAGAGCTTGATATTTGTACATAGTCACTTTTGTTCATGTTCTTAAAAAAATCGAGCTAGTGTCTTAAAGACCTGGGACAAACAAAAGCATAGTCCTAATCAGGGGCGGACTGACAACTCATGGGGCCCCCGGGCAATAGGAAATCATGGGGCCCCCTGTGTCCTCACCCACACTCAAACCACACCCAAAAAAGCCTATGAAAGGTACCAGGGCATCTCATGGGGCCCCCTACTGACCCAAGGCTCTCGGGCAGTGCCCGAGTGGCTAAATGGTCAGTCCGTCCCTGGTCCTAATTAAATGCACACTTGGTAATAGGTGCCTTTTTATCATTAGGGTAGCAAGGGCTTTATTACCTTTTAGAAAAGTGATTATGTCCGTGTATGACATGTAGCTTAAGGTTGCAGTATGACCTTAATCACTTGCCCTCCAGAGTATTTACCCCCCTTCCTGACCAGGCCATATTTTGCATTGCATTATTTCAACTGACAAATGCGCGGTCATGCAACGCTGTACATAAATGAAATTTGTAATTTTTTTCCCACAAATCGAGCTTTCTTTCAGTGGTATTTGATCATCTCTGTGTTTTTTTAATTTTTTTGCGCTATAAACCAGTTTTAAAAAAAAATATTTTTGACTTTTTACTATAAAACATATCCAATAAAGTATTCTACTACATGTTTTTGCCTAAAAAACAAAAAAAAAAAAAACCCAATAAGTGTACATTAATTGGATTACGTGAAAGTTATAGTTTCTACAAATGGCAGTATATATACTGGAATTTTAATTTTATTTTATACTAGTAATGGTGGCGATCAGCGACTTATAGCGGGACTGCGGCGGGCATTCTGACACTGCAGTCACACTTAACATTTTTTTTTTTTTTTTTATGTAGTACAAAGTTGCAGTGCTTTTCTGGATTATGTAAATAAACAAAAACACCTCAAGTGCAGTCAGATATATTAAAGATAAGGCCTTCAGGTTTCTGTGGCTTATGGCCATGTGCATATTGCTCTTTGCGTTATGACATAAAGGCCAGGATGTTAATGAAACTTGTATGTTCTGTTTCCAGCTTTATAGTGGGCCATTATTTTTATTGGTAGGATGAAGTCAAACCAATTCGGAAGAGCACCACTGTTTAAACCAAGGCTTGACAAATTTGCTTTGAATCTAGGACCCAGCTAAAAAAGTTAGGAGCCAGTTTTTTTTTTTTTTTTTTTTTTTTTAGCGTAGCGTAGCATGGGTTGTCGGCGCCTGAGGCAAGGCAACTTTCAGCGACAAACTTCACGTGATTCGATTTGCCATGAGACAATCATAGCAAAACTGTACCATGTGTTAAGTGCCAGTGAAAATAATGGCACCTGAACCTGTGTGTTGTGATCGCAGTGATTCTGACCAATTCCAAAAATGCCAGGTGCGAATGGTGCCTCACTAGTTAACATATATGCAATTATAGATGCTTTTTCAAACTCACAGATTTGAACGAAAGGTTAGATATTATGTATTCCTATTGAGATGTTTCACATAGATGCGATCCACATGCATTGTGTTTTGGGTGCTATTATAAAAAGGGTCCTGTGTGAGATTGTAGCGGTGCATTCCAGATTTGCAAGTGGTAGAGTGGCATGCGGAGATCAGTGTTCACATAGGATTGCTATTGACAGGAGTTTTTGCATTGAAGTCAGTGGGAGGCGTTTTTACATTGACGTCAGTGGGAGGCAGTGTGTGAACCCAATTTCTACTTGCTATGGCAACCTGGCGCCTGGGATTTGTTGAGCCCTGGTTTTAAACGTTTCCCACAGAACTCCTTTAGTGTGAGCACATGATTTGATCCTGTTTCTAGATTAATGATTTTATTTTATGTGTGATGACAGTTATGAACATATGATGCAGATAAATGTGGAACGAGAAATATACGACATACATTCCAAGCTTCTACTGGTGAGTGTTCTTTCCTTGCTTTTATGCTTGCCTGCTAAGGTTCAAATGTGCACATTACCCTGGAACTGCTTTTTAAAGCTGTATACTTGGGACATAATGATAATTAGAGGTGCAACTAACGATTATTTTCATAATCAATTAGTTGGCCAATTATTGTTTCGATTAATCAAATAATTGGATAAAAAAACCTAAAAAAAAGTGTGGTGTATAATTTAGTTAATATGTAAAAAAGACAAGTTCATTCTTGAATATCTATATGCAGTGATACATATAAATTACTGCCTGGTTGGGGAAGAAAATATCTAATCCACTCTGAGAACAGACAGAAAAACAAAATGTAAAAAGAAAAATTTTAAAGAAAAAAACATTCGAAGAGACCCAAAACACTGTTTAGCTACCTGCCCCTGCTGTCATTTTAAGACATTTAGTAGCAGCAGCATGCTTTTTGTATCCCCTCTCATAATGGGGTTAAAAAATAGTCCTTTGTACAAAAAACTTCAGATAATCACCACTACATGGGTTAATTTATACTGTGAAATAGTGAAAGTAATATATATAGATAGATATATCTATGCACACACAAGTAGGATATACCGGGTATTTTAACTGGAAGTCAGACATGAAGCTATATGAAGGGTAGTGGAGGGGATATAAATCTTTTATATTAATGTAGTACTAAAGACTGAGACCTTTTTGCATGGATATAATCATTTTAAATATAATGCACAATATTGGTAAACTTTTAACTCTAACTATTGGCTGTCACAGCAGTCTCATGATCTAAAAGCTCCCAATCTGAAGCAGCGATCATTGATCCTCCTCTCCTGGGGTCCCCTGCCAGCGCTTCTGGCTCCTCCTGCCTTTGGAGTGCCTCTATAGGAAGCCATAAAGTATAGTAAAGAGTGCAGTGCCCTATAGCAAGGAAAAAAAAAAACTTCTGGCTTTAGAATACCTTTAAATCACTTCCTTCTCCTGCCCAAGGCTACTTGTCCCATGAGGCATGGCTTCTAACATATTCAGAGGTTCTCATGCACTTACTGACATGTATGGATGGTGTACTGAGCTGTATGTTTTCTGCACTGTATTTCCTAATATGAAAACACATAATGCATTCTGTATTCAGAACAACTAATTGGCTGACTAACTAATTGATAATGAAAATAGTTGACAACTGTTTTTATAATCATTTATGTCAATTAGTTTTTTCAGCCCTAATGGTAATTTAGGAGTAATTTGTGTCCATTTTGAATGGGTAACTGTAATAATTATAAACAAAAAATTGTTGCGCTGTGTAACTCCGTAATCCTGATTAATTCCATCCTTAACCACTTTCGGGCCGCCCACCCTCAATGTACTGTGGATAGGTTGCAGCTACAGGACCAGCGATGTTACCCGTACGTTGCAGGTCTTTTGCTAACACGGGGCACTGCACGCCAGAGTGGGTATGCAACCCTACCCCCATGTCTGCTCTGTCCGGAATCCCTATGTGATCACATGATCACAATGACAACAAAGCTTTTATGAATCAATTTGATTCATAGTAGCTTTGCTTCTGTTCCTGAAGAGCTGTGATTGGCCCCATGTGTCATGTGAGAGCTGAGGACCAGTCACAACACCCTGTACCATGTGATCAGCTGGAACCAATCATAGATCATTATTATATTGAACTGTCATGAACTTAACACATTCATGACAGTTCAAAGCAAGCTTTGCATTGAAGAGCAATGATCTTCATTGCTCATGCAAAGTATAAGAGCGAAAAATCCCTGATCACCCCCCAGAGTAGTACAATGTTACTATGGTAACATTGCACTACTCCGATGAAAGTATTTTTAAAAAAAAAAAGAAAAATGTTTAACCATTTGCCCTGCGGGGCATGTTACGTCCATGGACCATTTTATTTTTTTGCCACAAATTTTTGGGAAAATGACAATTTTTTTTATTTTTTTTTTACACAAAGTTGTCAGTTTAATGATCTATTGCTCATGCATGCCATGGGTATATATGGAATAACACCCGAAAACACATTCTTCTACTTCTCCTGAGTATGGGGATACCACATGTGAGAGACTTTTTGGCAGCCTAGCCACCACACACACACCCCCAAAATCCAATGACCACCTCTAAGCTTTCAAAGGGCATATTCTCTCATATCACTTCCTCACTACCTATCAGGGTTTTGGAGGCTCTAAAATGCCAGGATAGTACAAACAAATTGCCCTCCTAAGGATTTACCCCCCTTCCTGACCAGGCCATTTTTTATGTTATGGCGCTGCATTACTTTGACAGTTGCGCAGTCATGCAACGCTGCACCCAAATGAAATTTACATCCTTTTTTCCCACGAATAGAGCTTTCTTTCAGTGGTATTTGATTGCCTGTACGTTTTTTATTTTTTGCGCTATAAAGAAAAAAAGAAAATTTTTAGAACAAAAACATTATTTTTGACTTTTTGCTATTAAACATGTTCATTAAAAAAAAATTTAAAAATCAAATTTTGTCATGCATTTAGGCCAAAATGTATTCTGGTACATGTCTTTGCTAAAAAAACAAATCCCAATACATGTAAATTAATTGGTGATACAAATATGTTTACAAATGGCGTATATGTACTGGGATTTTATTTTTTTATTTTTACTAGTAATGGCGGCGATCAGCGACTTCTAGCATTCTGACACTGGGGGAACTGACTTGGTGTAACTGACGTCCCCATTGACACCAATACAGTGATCAGTGCTACTAAAAAGCACTCGCACTGTACTAATGGCACTGGGCAGGAAGGGGTTAACGTGGGGTGATCAAAGGGTTAACTGTGTGCTGTTTTACTAGGGGTTGTGTGTGTTTCACTGTGCTTTTTGTATGGCTTGCTATGTAAGCCATGCAAAGCAGTGTGCCCAAGTGACGGAAAACGTTTGTTTTGCTATGTAAGCCTGATCACCGCCAAATTAGTGAAAAAAAAATTCCAGCATCAACCGCATTTGACAGGGTGGAAAACGTTTAGTTTTGCAGTCCCGCTATAAGTCGCTGATCACCGCCATTATTATTAAAAGGAAAAAAAAAATTCCAGCATAAGGTGAAAAAATCTATACCGCCATTTGTGAAAAACACTATAACTTTCACGTAAACCAATTAAGGTTTACACGTATGACCCGGATAATCCGGAAATTCGTGTGGGTTTTTTTTTCTTAGCAAAGACGTAGCAGAATACATTTTGGCCTAAATTTATGATGAAATTTGATTTTTTTTACATTTTTTTTTACTGGACATCTTTAATAGCAAAAAGTCAGAAATATTATTTTACCTTTCGGAGGGCAAGTGGTTAAAGTGACAATGAAAAAATTCACTCTTATAAAATGTTCACAAATACAATAAGTTCATAAGGTGAAAAAATTAAAATAGGACATAAATGGTCAGTGAAATCAAATGTCCATAGTATCATAGGTAATACCCAGTGAAATGTGAATTTACCCCCTGCACACATAGCCTCTTACCGGATTATCAGTCCCCAAATTATAGGTGGTCTGACATAACATGAAACTGCATGGATCTTGACCCGGATAATCCGACACAGAAATTCGTGTGGCACTACTATCTCTTTTCCTGTTCTGTATGTAATTCATCATAAAAGAGATCTCCAATAGTAAAGTACCTTCAAAAAATGTAATTCATGCAAGCCAAAAAACTACTTACAAAATATCCTCTTGTTATGCACATGTAGTACATAACGCCGCTAGTGCTTGCTCCTTCAAAGCGTGGGCTTTGCTGAAGAATTCCAATATACACTATATTTTTAGTAGTCAGTATAGTCACTGTGGTTTGTGAGATTATGTAAATGCTTTGGATGCAAAAAACTACAAATATTTGGTGTAATAGACCACATTACCATATATGCACGGAATGGTTATGCAGCTAAAACCGTGGAACGTTTTTGATTTTGGAATACTATGTAGAAGGAAGGTTTTTTTTTTTTTTTTTTTGTTCAGTTGAAAAATGTTCTGCACCATAGAAACCCAACAAAATGATAAAAAAAAAAATTACAAAGTATCTAAATCCTTTAATCCAATGACTTTACCCTTATACCCTTTCCTCAAGGTATAAACCTTTAAAATATAAACCACCATATTCACTGGGAGGAACCAATGTAAGGTGATATGGCATTTATGACAAAAAAAGAAATAAATACAAAATGTAGTGTTATATAGTTATACTCTCATATATGTTCATAAATAAATATGTATTGTTTCACATGGCTCCTTAGACCATGATGGTCTTGAGACTCCATGACCCTAGCTTATAGTCTGTATACAGTCATACTCTTTTGGCTTGATATCTTGTATTTATTTAATTTGTCATTAGGACTTTATTGGCCAATTTTTGTTATAGGAGCTATAGTATATCACTTTTCATTGGTATTCCCAGTAAATATGGCAGTTTATATTTTAGTATATTTTAAAGGTTTTTACCTTGAGGTTGGGGTATAAGGTTACAGTCATTGGAGTAGTTTTTTTTATACTTGTTTGTTTTTGTTTCATTGTTGTATTTTTTGTCACTGTGGTACATGTAGTTTCCTTGATGTTTCTTTTGGTTTTTGGTATTTATTGCAGGACATCTGAAATCCTATACTATTATCCCATTGAACTAAAAGCTTTTTATTTATGCCAGTTCTCTTTGGTGTATTTCCCCTCAGTTCTTGTCCTGGAGACAATTTCCATTTTTTGGCTTTCTCCTGCACTTTTTGGTTTGGCGTCAACATTCACAATCAATTCCCCCCCATAACTAAAACATTCTCTGGCTGGGATTCAGTTTTAATATAGATTTTATTTATGTCAAAATATGTACATAAAAGTATGTAGATAATAATATAAAATACACAGTACAACTGTGTATGTTTAAAAGAAGTCATAGGATTGTTAACAATGTGTGCCATTATAAAGTCCAAACCCATTGTGAAAATCTGCGCATTCCTGTTTTTAACACACAGTGCTGCTTCCCTAATCCTTTTGCCTACTCAAATTAAGAAATTACAAATTCTAAACCTAACTAACCATAGAATTTCTGAAGCCAGGGGTGCTATTTTTCAATGCCCCAAATAATATAAAAATGCTAGGGAAGGAGATTTGTGCCCATTACATCCAAGGATGTGTTGGCTTTCACTAGTAAATGACAGCTGGAATTT